AATGTGTTTGCCCCCTAAACCTACAAACTGGTTGGGCCAGGCTGAGCAGCAACAACTGAAATCAAGTGTTTTCAATAACTTACAATGAGTCTGTTACAGCACTGTGGAGGGATTATGGCCCACTCATCTTTGCAGAATTGTTGTAACTCAGCCACATTGGATGGTTTTTCAACATGAACTGCCATTTTAGGGTCATGCCACATCATCTTAATTGGATTTAGGTCAGGACTTTGACTAGGCCACTCCAAAGTCTTCAGTTAAGTTATATTCAGCTATTCAAAAGTGGATTTGCTGGTGTGCTTTGGATTGTTTTCAGATGGGAGACACAGTGGCCCAGTGATTAGCACTGTTGCCTCACGGCAAGAATGCCTCTGGTTAAAGACCCTACTAAACCAGATGACATTTCTGTGCGGAGTGTGCTCGTTCTCCCCATGCTTCCGTGGGTTTCCGGTTTCCTCACACAGTCCAAAAACACGCAACCTAAGTAAATTGAACACACAAAATTGATACCACAGTCAAGATCTTAGGCAAGTACACCTCTCCTCAGTCGCATATATCCGTCATTCAACTAGCCGGGGAGAGTTAACCGAGATCTACCTGAGCTCAAACTCCTCTCTCGCCCTGCAAACTGAAGGGAGCCCAGGGCTCGAGGATCTCATAAGCTCAAGGCTCTCTCCCAGGACAGCATGCCATCAATCATCAGCTAAGTGTGAACTCTTGAAACCAGAGTTAAGTTTTAATAGAGGGTAAACACTTTTCCTTAAAGGGGCAGTTGTGGACTAATGGTTAGGGAGTTGGATTGAAATGGAGTGGAAAGGTTTCAAGTTCAATTCCCAGTCCAAGACATGAAAACGGGGGAAGTGAATGAACTTTTGATCGTGCAAAAGTGTTCGTCAGTCACAGGAGTGCAATTTCAGCTCATTCGCAGAGAGAGCTGGTGATTGGTCAATTTCAGCATGATCTGTAAGGGCAAAGAGCATAGAATCACCAAGAGGCGACTCTCTGTTGCTATTTGGGAAACAGCCACTAGATGCCGCTAGTGTCAGTCGGCGGCCCTTGTGAGATAAAAACTCCAATCGAACAACAGTACAGATAACTACCATTAGACAGAATGAAATAAAATATTGAGTTAAAGATGAGTTAAATTATTTTATACTCATACACCCCATTGAAAAGCAACATTTTAAATAATATCTCAATGAATAGAAAACCATTTTCAAAATGTTGACAAAACTAAGTTTAATATATCTGTTTAACTTATGAAAGTAAGGCTAACAAAATAACTGAAATTACAATTTGTTTAAGTTTTACTCAAATTAGGGTGATGCAAAAATGAGTATTAAATATATCAAAGAGATGCTCAACTTGATGTCTCTTCAGAATTCCCTGTAGGCGTTTAATAGGAATCAGATAAGGAGACAGACTATGTTTACATGGACATCAGTAATCAAATGATTTACTTTAATCTAATTAAGTCAATAATAAGACTAAGGTGTTTACATTGGTTGCTTTTGGAGTGTTACTCTTATGATCGCGTTTTACATGTTATAGCACATACTTAGATTAATGTCATCGCGCTATCCACATTTCCTCCGAAGTTTCATGTAATTTTGAGTGTTTCATTATTAATTTGCTGACTTAAACTGTGGTTTGGCACTTTCACTTTCATTCGGGCATGCCCCCCGTGACCACGGAGATATTGGATGCAACTATGAACTGCTGGAAGAGTGTTGTTTTAATGAAAGTTCATGCTGAATGGAAGAAAAAACCTTCGCATTTCACGAGGCAGGTGTCTGTGGTCTGCACTGACTCGGTAGGTGCAAAGACTGTCAAACAGCCGTGTGTGTGTGTGTGCGGACTGTCCTGTCGCAAAACGCGGCGAAAAGTCCAACATGACAGTAATAATTCGATTAAGGTGTTTTACGTGTCTGTGCTGCACTTCAATAATGCGACTTAAGTCGGCCTACTCCACACGTCTTAATTCGATTTCTCTTCAGTTTGATTATTACCTTAATCTTATTAAATTCATCAAAAATCGCCGTTTACATGGTCGACTCTTAATCATGGTATTGTCTTAATCACATTGAAATCGCCCTTTTTAGTCTTGGATATTAAGTGCCCTTCTAAAATGATCAAAAGTGCCCCCGTGACACTTCCCCCCTCCCCCCCTTCAGTAGGCGCGCGACAACAACGCTCTTGAGTATGCGCGCTTCCCCACCCCCCTCTTTGCAGTTTGAGTGTTTAATATAAAAAACTGCATGTGACAGAAAAAAAAACCCAGTCAAGAAGTGTCCAGCTTTCTTCAGTTATGATCGATGCAGCAGTGAAGATGGATGTTGGATGATGTTTGTACTCTACCATTTCGTTTCTCGATATAGAGTTCACTTGATATCCGAAAGCATTTAATGTTATAACGTTACTCCTTGTAGGGAGAATAAAAAAATTTAACTAAAAACAACGGCTGCGTCTGAAACCGCATATGTCCATACTATACAGTACGTTAAAATCAGTATGAGAGCCCAGCAGTATGTCCGAATTCATAGAATTCGAAAATCAGTATGCGAAAAGTACTCGGATGACTTACTACTTCCGGCGAAATTCTGAAGTGCGCATCTCATGCATGCTGCGCTATCCCATGATGCCCCGCGAATGAATTCATAAATGGGAGTAAAGCGACGAAAATGACGCAGGTACGTCACATGACTATGTCAAAATGGCGGACGTAGTACGTCCGAATTCCATTCATACTTTTCACATTCATACTGTATAGAACGTACATTTTAACGGCCGAGTGGTGCGTTTACATTCAAATGCAGTACCTACTGAGTAGTAGGCGGTTTCAGACGCAGCCAACATCTATTTGACTGAAAATTACAAGCAATAGCTGCACAAAATCCGCATTAGTGCTGTTTATACACTAGAAGCATATGTAGCACCAGAGTCGGAGATCCCAAATTACGTCATCGAAAATAAAGACGGCACCCACGGTGCAGAGTATTTTTTAAAAATAACATTAAAATGTTGTGTTTTATTCTAAATATTTCACAAAAAGGCATCATTTACATTATATTAAGGCATGAAAGTCCCTTTAAATTCCCTTTGAAGAACAAGAATATGGCTTCTCCTTTGTATGAACTCTAAGGCTGCATTTACACGGCAAAGGCGCAATGACTGTTGTGAAATTTGACAATATATCTAATAATTTTATATGTATAACAATATATATATACCAATATAAGTGTAACAATATGTGTTTGTGACTGAATGAGTGTTATATGATGCTCCAATGTCATATGGTGCTGCACAGACTATATTTGTCTTACTGATGCTGCTCAGACTAATCTGTCTTACTGATAGCTTTATTATATTGGAAGTGTAATCGTTCAGATGCATATCTCAGTACTATCTATGTAAGTGATTTTTACATATTGAGTAACATTAATTGTGACAATGCAAGTGTGTATTGTTCCTGTGTGTTTCCTCCATTATCTATCTCTTTCTCTCTCTCCACATGAGCGGAGATCAGGTGCAGCTGTGAGAGGGGCAGCGCCAGCTATGAAGGCACGCCGTTGACGCTCCTCATCGAGTTCTCTTCCTGTTTCCCCTCGCTTTTGTGTGTGTCTGAGCAGCTCGCTCTGAGTTCTCTGTGCGGCAGTGATCTGTCTGAAACCTTTTGTTCAAAGTAATCCGGTGAGATACTCTGTTAAATACGGTAATAGGACGGTAACCTGCATTAGCGGTGGCTGATTGTTTAATGCCTTTCTCCAACCCTGTTTCAAAGTCATCTGGTGAGATACTCTGTTAAATACGGTACTAGGACGGTATCATGTGTTAGCTGTGGCTAATATTTACCTTAATGCTGAATGATCAACGGGAAGGCCGTTTTTCTTTTGTCCAGTTTTCTCCTGTTTTGTGGTTAGTTATGGAGGTTAGAATTGTACGCTTTATTTATGGAATTTTATTTTTGGTATAGGTAAGAGGTTTAATATTAGGTAGCGTACCTTGTTTTGTTTGTTGTTTTGGCCTTTTTGTTCCCTGATTCTGATTTTGATCTTTTTGATTAATAAATCTGATATCCCTTATTGACAACTTGGCCTGTGTGTGTGTGCTTGGGGGAACAGGAACGGGGACTCTGGGTGACCACTTTTTATAGCGGTCATCCTTAAACTTATGTGCGTAGCGAGGTGCATCCGCTACGTAACACTTCTACTACCTCATAATATCCGCTTCTATTAAGAAAAGTGGCCATGAGATACAATACGCCTGAGGGAGATAGCTATTAGGTCATTACATTCCCTGCTGTCTTCAAGGGGGCACCCACACCAGAGCACTCGTATCATCCCAAAAGGTCATAGAGAAAGACTATAGAGGGGCTATTATCCATAAGACACAAGGGACTTATCTATAGTCGACATGGTAAGGTTATCCTTGGGCTAAATAACAATTAAAAACTAAACTCAGGGGATACGTCAGCCTGGTCTGGGGAGCAGGGGACACAGAAATTGAGACTAATGATCAAACTGTAGATATTGGTGAGATATGATGTGTTGTTAACCCTAAGGGAGGAAGACAGTATGTATAAGAACTGCATGAAAGGGGCTGCTCAGTGGGACATTTGATCGGATCACTCCTGTTGTTGCAAACTGCGCTTGTGACAATAAACGCTTCAACCTGAGTAACTCAGAACGACTTCAGACTTCTTTTGTAGACTTTGTTCGTTTCCTGAAAAATATCTAAATAACCAGAAGAGATTTCCACAACATGACCAGGAAAAAAAGAGAGCGGGCGCTGACTAACAGCTGATAATTAAAGAGTGCTCTTTTCTTTGTTCCAGTACGTAATCTGTTCGCAGCTGTTTTACTATAGTTTGTGACAGAAAGGTTCTCATTTGTCCATTTTCTTTTGATATACAGGCTTTTTTTTAACCCTTTAGGCATCTTAATGTAATGTCCAAGCTATGCACTAGTTTTATATTAGTTTATCTTGGTTACATGACGGACATTGCGCTCTCTCGCTCTCATTAACATGCTTATACCTGTGCTATATGGCAATGTAAAAGCTGTTTAAGTCCTCGTGTGTGTGAGATTTAAGGTTTGGGACTCTGCTGGAGTCCGTTCTGAAATTCGCTGTGGTTTTTAATGACGTGCGAATCGCATTGACAGGTGAAAATCAGATCTACCTGCTTACTGCAGACACGAGGGCACAGATCCGATTCATATCGGATAAATTTCCACATATGAACAAGGCCTGAATCTGATTCGAGTAAATCAGAATCCATGTCATTTGTTCCTGCTTACACGCACATGAGCCATATACGATCTGTGCCACATGGGAGAAAACAATCTGAATGGAGTCACTTGAACAGCACAGTGTAAACGCGGCCTAAGATGTGTCTTCAGCTCTAAAGAAATCAAAAATGTTTTGCCGCATTGATCACATCTGTGTGTTTTCTCCAGTGTGGTACTCCATGTGTCGATTAAGGTATGATGATTTTGTGAAGCTCTTCCCACACAAAGAACACGTGAACGGTTTCTCTCCAGTGTGAACCCTCTGGTGTTTCTTCAAGTCTGAAGCTCTAATAAAAGTCTTCTTGCACTCAAAGCACACATGCTCTCTCACGCCAGCGTGGATCTTCTGGTGTTGCGTTAAAATTGACTGTCGTGTAAAACTCTTTCCACACACAGAACACGGATAAGGCGTCTCGTTTGTATGAACTCTGAGATGGATGGTCAGCTCTGAAGGCCTGAAAAATGTTTTGCTGCAGTGTCCACACTTGTGCGGTTTCTCTCCGGTGTGGTTCATCATGTGTTTATGGAGGTATGATGATTGCGTGAAACTCTTCCCACACTGATCACATGTGAAGGGTTTCTCTCCAGTGTGAGTCCTCTCATGTATTTCCAGCATTTGTACCTGGCTGAATCTCTTGTTGCAGTGTGAACACTTGTACGGTTTCTCTTCAGTGTGGATCATCATGTGTTTTCTCAAGTCTGCAACTCTAATGAAAGTCTTCTTACACTTAAAGCAGACAAACTCTTTCACTCCAGTGTGGATCTTCTTATGTTCTGTTAAAATCGACTGCCGTGTAAAGCTCTTCCCGCACACAGAACATAAATAAGGCTTTTCTTTCGTGTGAACTCTGAGATGATCCTTCAGATTTGAAAACCACAGAAAAGTCTTGCCGCACTGATCACAGTTGTGTGGTCTCTCTCCGGTGTGAGTCAGCATGTGTTGATTAAGGTATAATGAGCGCGTGAAACTCTTACCACACTGAGTACAAGTGAACGGCTTCTCTCCAGTGTGGATCATCATGTGATGCTTGAGGCTGAATTTCTGCCTGAAACTCTTTCCACACTGAGTGCAGGTCAAACCTTTAACAGCTGCTCTATCCACTGAAATACTGTGTTCAGTCTCTGATTGAGTTTCTTCTTCACTCTTGACATGATGTTTCTCCTCATCTCCACTCAGTTCTTCACTCTCCTCCTTCACCATCACTTCTGAAAATTAAGTAAATGAGTTACTTTTTAAGAGGCTAGTTATGACAGCATATGCCATGCTGGAATCCTTTAATCATGCAGTCAAGTGATCATGAATAGGAGCATTGGTGTGTTTGGCTGAAATGTAAAGGAAGTCAAACACACTCAACGATATTATACACTTAACTAAAAACCTACTTTACAAAATCAGTCAGTATCTAGAGTAGGGATGGGCAATAACACAATTTTTAAATTCGATACGATACCGATACTTTTTGTCACACTTTTAACGATACTGAGAGATACCACTTATTATTTAAAATGGTAATGTAATTTTTCTATATGTTTATTAAAAAAAAAACATTACATGTAAATATACACACACACACACACACACACACAACCATATTGCATATACACGCTGCATACACATACATACTTTACATACACAATGCACAGATACATACATTAATATTATTTATTTATAATATTAATATTATTTACTTATATTTATTAACCTAATGGTAATGAGAGAGAAAGAGAGAGCTGGTACTATTTTATTTTATTTATTTTTAATTAATTATTATTATACTATATATATTAGTACTATACTATTATTTGCTGTGTACTATGTTTATATATATATATATATATATACATATATATATATATATATATATATATGTTTACGATAAACAAGTCAAGTGACATATTGATATATATATATATATATATATATATATATATATATATATATATATATATATATCAATATGTCACTTGACTTGTTTATTGTAAACAAAATGTGGCAAACAAAATTTTAATGTCAACTGATTTAAAAGAAAATGAGCTTGAGCTGTAAAGTTAATTTAGGCAGGTCCCATATTCTAAGCAATAATTGTAAATATAAAATAAAATGCAATATAAAGAAGGACTAAAACTGATGAAATGCTTGAAGATTTACAACATCCCTGCTGTTCAGCCTCATTATTGAAGAGTAATGAATGAACACAAACCTATTAGTTCTTCAGTCTCTTCCTGTTTAATTCTGCAGGGTTCTGGATCACTCATCTTCTCACTGTCCTTCAATAAACTCTGTCTTTCACTGATGGAGCTTCGAGGAATAAACAGAGAAATCTGATTACTTACAGTGATTGAGGAAATAAATCATATTAAGATGTTTTATCTTTTTATATGATACAATATGTGATTTGTTCAAAATCAGCAGACATCAATCAAATTAACTTAATGTGATAATCTGAAGAAATCAATATGAATAATGAGGTAAAAACAAGAGCTGTTAACAAGAGGATTTCAGCAGGTCTGATAACATTATTGAGCCTCAGACTATAAACACTTATTTAAGTTATTCAGGATCAACAGCAGATCAGCTCATTTTATACTGAGCAGGGCTCAACAATAAGCACTGCCCGATGGCCCGGGGCCAGCGTGAGAGATGCTCGGGACACTAGACAGAAGCGTAACTGGCCCGATTGGGGCAGTGCTGCCTTGTTGGCATCATAACCACAACATCAAATTATAAGGCTAAAAGAAGACATCTGCTTCTAACATTGTGGAAACATTAACATAGGTACAAAACAATGAAAAAAATGAAGTGATGTTTTTCTTAGTTTGCCGTCACTTTTAAGTCAGCCACCTTTTGTTTTGCAATAAAACACCTGCACATTTTCCATACCCTATATTTTACTGCTAGATATTTTAACATCTTTCAAAGATTTAAATTCACAGACAATATGTTGTGACACATTATTTAATATATGTGGCAAAGAAATAGCAATTAACTTGTTTTTTTTTTTGGTGGAGCCAGTGAAAATTTTGGCAGGGCAAAAATCTGAACCACTGGTCCAATCGGGCCAGTAGGAAAAATCTTTAGCGTTGAACCCTACTGTGTGTTTGAGTATTCATAACAATTAAAGTCATCTGATTAGCAGTCACACATCTATGTAGAAGCTGGAGAACCACAAAACCTTTAGAAAATAAAGAGCACCACAAACAGATTAACATTTTCCACACACACACACACGCACACATACATATATATATATATATATATATATATATATATATATGTATATATGTGTGTGTGTGTCGTGGTAGATTCCCATTATTCAAGACAAATCATACTTTGAAATATTATTAAAACAAACGAGAAAAGACAAAGAAACACTCAAGATATTGTCCTTAAAGCTCCTCTCTGCCTGCTGTATTGTTTTGGTCAGCAGACACACAGATAGAGGTGAACTCAATGCAGAAACTAGTCGCAGATTGTCGCTTTAATAAACTGTAAAGTGTGTTTTATTGTTGTGTAAACACGAGAAAAAGCGTCAACGACTCACCTCAGCTCTGAAGACTCGACGCTGAATGAACGCGTCAGCGCTGACGTCATCACGGCGAGGCGGAAGCAACGGCAGATCAACAACAACAAAAAATGGGGCGAAATACTGTTCATTGGGCAACTGTGGTATTTGACGTGCAATATAAATTGAGACAACACATGAAGTCAAGAACACAACACTGTTTATTAGGCAATTTAAACAGATTTAATAAATCTAAAATTATCTTTTCCTGACTACAATCAGGAAACAAATGCTTTTAACAAAATTGAAGAACAGTATTTTAAAATAACAGCTTGAACAATATGTCCATGCTGAAAATTTTAGATTGCTTTGATGCACTACATGGGTCTAAAGTGATCCGTCTAATTTTATTTTCTATATCTATTTTATAGCTTGTGCATCAAAGGGTTAATAACAGATGCAGGGTCATAGCCAGCCTGGTGAAAGGGGTGGTTATTTTTTCTCAAATCAAATTAACCTTTTTGCAGTTATTTGCCTCACTTTTGATTTAATTATGAGATTTGAATACTGCATTTTACTGACATTTTAAACACTGTTTTGTAGCTGAATTAGCTTGTCAGATGGTCATCATAATCATACTTTTTGATGTACCAAATATTTCCTAAAGATTTAGAAAAGAGTTTTTAAAATACAAATCAACTACATCATATATCATTAAAAAAAAACATGAATCTGTTGAAGTTTTCAATCAAAAACTGAAGCCTATTGTCATTTATTAGGCAGATAACAAACTGGGCAGCACGTTCAATTCACCTCAAATTTGTCAGAATTCCAATAAAAAATACAAGATTTAGAATATTTGTTTCTTGAAAAATGTTTTCTCTATTTAAAAGCAATAGAGTGGCCAAAGATGACTTCTCTAATGTCGGATTGTGTGTTTTCTTGCGCAGCTCGATGTTGGACAGGTGGAAAATAATTGTTAGCATAGGCCAATTAGCTGAAGTCACACCGAAGCCACAGCCAACTCTGCTTAGTCTTAAAGCTTTTTTCAAAGGGTTAGTTTCACTATTTATGTTGGCATAGCAGTCAAAATAGGAGAAATAAGCTCATTTTGGGACAAATTATGTACCTTTGTCAGTGAGGGGTGGGTCAGATCGCTGTATGCAAACACACAAGCTCAGATGGTAGCCGATTGCTGACTAATTTTATTGGCTGACGCTGCTTTGACGATCGCGTCAGCCCCAACTTCAGACATGCCCTCTGTCAAGCGTTAACGAAGCCCCGGCGTTAAGAACTTCAGTGTTAAGAACTTCCACAATTCAGTTCTGCAACTTTTTAAGTCACCCATTCAATGTGAGTGGCTGTTTCTCAATTCCAAGAACGCAGAGAACGGACATGTGTTCTTGTGAAGACCGATCTGGCCGAGTCACCTCAGAAGAACGAACTCTGGAGACCATGAGGACAGAGAACACGAGAATCCTATGAGATGTGCGTTCTTCCTGATGGTCACATGACAATCACGCATTTTAAATGGTAAACGATTTAAACATTACAGCGTTCATACAACGGTTTATTGTTTTTTTCCACTTTTTCACAAAATATACTATGCATAAAAACATAAATATACGTTGCACAATACAAATAAAACCGATTTTAATACAAATTTCGGCAAATAAATTAAGAAATTATTGTGTTTATTCAAATTTTTACTGTGGATGTTTACTTTCACCGTTTCATTTAGGGAAACTCCTGAGGTAAATAAGTGATATCTCTGAACATTAAGGATGTCACGATCCTCCAAATCCTCGATTCGATTACATTTTCGATTCTAAAGTCACGGTTCGATTCGATTTTCGATTATGAATAATTAATTAATTAATAAAGAATTAAATATTTGTAGCCTACCCATTAAACTCCCTGACCTGCATGGTCTTTGTTTTACCCATAAACAAATCATACAGTAAATGAATAAAGGCAAGATACACACATAATTACCACCTGTCAATCACTTTTTCTGCAGGACTCATGAATAGGCAGTGATCTGTGTCGTTATAATGGCGTCGGTAAAAAAAAAGGTGCACAACAGGGCGGAGGATAGCAAAGCCAGAGTTGACTATCGGACGAACCCTAATAAGTACATAGCAGAGCTTGCAAACTGTGTTTTTTTGTCGACAACACGAACGTTGTTAACATAACTCACTGGAAATCCAAAATGCTTACACACCGGCGACTTCATTGAAAGAGGAGAGGGTTTAAGCTCTGTCGACGGGTCTCCTGCGTCTGCAGTTTAAAAAGCACTTCAACAAGCCTGTTTTTTTCCATTTGGCAAGCCAAACTGACATGACATGGGGGCGTAGCAGCATCGACTATTCTATTTTTTGATTTGATAATCGAAATTGAGCATAAATTTCGATCGACACCCTTACTGAACATCTATATAAAATTCTGTGTTTCCCACATCCAGTCACAATGACTTCTGGGACTTCTAAAGCGAGTTCGGTGCTCAAGTCTGCATCGGTGCATCCTCGGTATCAAGATCACACCCGGGAAGTTTCACGCGTCCTCTGTTCTCAAGTATTGGAACTGAACTTTTGGCAGTTGATGATCACGTTACACGAAAACCCGAAGATTGCATATTGAGAAACAGCCAATGGAAAGCGTTGATGCTGGCGCCCCATGTGTATGGGGTGTACGGTAAGGGAATCTGGCTATTTATGTGCATTCTTCACTTAAATCAATCATGTCAGGAGACAAAATGATATATATTCCACTGCACTGCTGGACATGCGATTGCGTAGCTGTAATTGACATGTTTGGATTATGCTAATTGTGATCGAGGGTGTGTACTTTACTTGATTAACATACAAATCTGTTGATCAGGACGACGTAAATTCCACTGATGTCTAAACATCGTGAACATTAAAACGCTTCTTTGTATGAACTCTAAGATGCTTCTTCAGATTTGAAGCACTGAAGTTTTGCCGCACTGCTCACACTTGTGTTTTTCTCTCCAGCGTGAGTCTTCATGTGTTGATTAATGTGTGAGGATTGTGTGAAACCTTTCCCACACAGAGTACATATGAACGGTCTCTCTCCAGTGTGAGTTGTTTCGTGAGATTTAAGGGAACTAGCTTGATTGAACCTCCTGTTGCAGTATGAACACACGTATGGTTTCTCTCCAGTGTGAAGCCTCTCGTGTTTTTTCAGTGTTTGTAACATACTGAATCTCTTCTCGCAGTGTGAACAGTTGTACGGTCTCTCTCCAGTGTGAATCCTCATGTGGATTTTCAAGTTTTTAGCTGTAATAAAACTCTTTCCACACTCAGAGCAGACAAAATCCCTCACGCCAGCATGGCTCCTCTGATGTGCTTTTAAATTTGACGTCTGAGCAAAACTCTTCCCACACTGAGCGCAGGAATAAGGCTTCTCCTTTGTATGAATTCTAAGATGTTTCTTCAGATCTGCTGAAATAAAAAATGCCTTGCCGCATTGATCACACTTGTGTGTTTTCTCTCCAGTGTGGATCAGCGTATGTATTTTTAGATATCTTGAACGACTGAATCTCTTGTCGCAGTGTGAACACTTGTAAGGTTTCTCTCCAGTGTGGATCAGCAAGTGACGCTTGAGATCGGATTTCTGACTGTAAGTCTTTCCACACTGAGTGCAGGGGAAACCTTTCACGTCTGTTCTTTCCACTGAAACACTGTGTTCAGTATTTGAGTAAGTTTCGTTTTCACTCTTGACATGATGTTTCTCCTCATCTTCACTCAGTTCTTCACTCTCCTCCTTCACAATCACATCTGAAAATTAATAAGTCACATTTTAAGAGCCGAGTTATTCAATAAATGTGCAGTTGAATTATCCTGAATAAGAGCACTTGTGTGTTTTGAGATGTGTGAGGGCTCAAATTGCTTTTCTACACTCAAAAATATGATTTGGAGATTTATATACGCGTGAAACATTTAAATAGTTTCCACTTAACGTCTCGTTACAAGCAAAACACATTTTATTTCATTTGGTCAACATGATTTAACTAAATTTGCGAAAGGGGAGAGCTTTCAGCCTGGATTTTACTTCTGCGTCAAGTGACCGGCGTAACCCAAGGCGCATGCAACGCGTGTAGCTGTGCATTTATACTTCTGCGCGCTGTCTCTGTTGGTCTGCATTAACACTTCCGAAACGCTAGTGGGCAGTGAGGTGTTAATGTGTCTCTGTGTCGAGTTTCTTCGCTGCTGTTTTGTTTTCCTGAACACTTCCTGGATGTACAAGTGGCTCAAACTCGCTCATTTTGAGGCAGGAACCGGCGGACGTGCAACAACTTTAACTATGAGGTAAACACAAAACAAAACTTTCCATCCGGAGCTCCTTCACGGGACTCCACACTTGTAAACAATCGCTCCATTAGGCTCGCGCCATTCGCAAGGCTCTCAGTCCCGCCCAGACTCGTCAGCGCTACCAAGCCGACCAATCACAGAGCTTGCGCTACGCATCGTTGTGACGTGTAGTTACATTTTTTGAGACGTGCACATCAGCGACGCCGACGGCCACGGCAAAGGGCTATGCGTCAACGTCGTAGCATATGCGTGCGTTTGACGCGGAAGTATTAATCAGCCTTTCTGTACGTCTTCTCTTGGTGTCGACAGATGTCATTTTCAAAAGGTGACTCTGCAAAGACTGGATGCGCTTGCCGTTGGCTTGATGTTTTCGATAATTATTCGCTTTTCCCAAGCGGCAACCTCCCACTCTCCCTCGGGAAGCCAATACGGAAGTAACTGAAACTGCAATTCATCGAAATTCCGCTAGTCCTGGCTCCATACGGAGCAAATTTCAATTGAGCCCACAGCTAGAATAGCCAACTCTACAACAGAGAATAGGGTGTTTACAGCCTGGTAGAACAATGTTGGTTAATACAGCTAATATTACCGTTCATGACAACTGTGAGGGGGGTGAATTTTTTTATAACTCATCCGTTTCCTTTATATTAAGTTATATTAAGTCTGCATAATTAAGGGCGTGGCCACTTGAGTGACAGCTAGGTCTCGCTGGTCGTTGTCACTTCACATCAGTTGATTCCGGCTGATTAGCTGCTGAACTCGGCATGTACATCACATTTTTTGTGTTGTTTTATGTGGCTTTACACAGTCAGTTGCTTTTTGGAATAATTTCCTACAATTATCAGATGATATGGGATGCTGTGTGCGCTTAATTGTGCTCACAAACCATTCACGTGGCCTCCATTTCCCAGATGAGTGAAGTTATATACTTATATACCATCTCTAAAAATGCATTGGTCTTATTAAAGATTATTTATCGTTTTTAATAGTGTTTAAAACTTTAATGCACTCCAGAATCTGTCAGATTGATTAGCTGTAGGCTCTAGAAAAGTCATCTGAACTGTTGTCGTACAGTGTTTTGCTGGACTTCACCAATAGTCTTGCATTTACTAACACAGACTATATATGAAGTGTTTGGAAGTAATTCACTTTTTCCTCCTGTAGAAAAACGTCATAAGAACAATGTTTAGCGGCTCAATGTGTTACAGCAGTGTTTTTAAAAGTCTAAACATTTTATTGATATAGTGTACAGCCAAGCAGGCCCGGATTGGCTAATCAGGAGGACCGGGAGAATTCCCGGTGGGCCGGTCTGTTTTTTGGCTGCGAGGGCCGGTGTCCCTAGCTCCAGAATCTGTTGCTCTCAGCAGTCACACTTTTTAAATTAATTTATTCACTTACTTGACTACAGTCTTCTTATTCATTATTTTACCGCAGCTCTGCTCTTTTTATATATAACCAGCCTTCAGGTTAATGATGATATTACTCAGATGAGTCAGTCCTTCATATACAACTGTTGTGGTCCAGTGGTTAGCACGTTAAATTACGACGCTGCCGACCCGGGTTTGATTCTTGTCTGAGTATGTTTTTTTATTATAGTTTTATTGTTAAGACATATAATACTGTTAGGGTTTTTGAACATTTTAAGTTCTAAAGCAGCTGTTTTTTCAAAAAAAAAAAGACGTGATAGTGTAATTAGAAACTGAATTGTAATGACCTTATTTTAATATAGTCAGTCGTGAACTGAGGTGGGCCGGTCTAAGGCTTGAAACTCCAGGGCTGAAAAAGAGTCCCACTCCGGCCCTGCAGCCAAGCACATGTGGTCAGAACACAAACGAATCGCAGGTAATGAAGTGTTAAGCCAAAGTAGAGTCTGACTAAGCCAGGTCAAAGCAAAATGCCAGCAGGTGTCTGTAGCTCCGCTCACTCTCCGCCTCTTTGCCCTTGTTTGGCATCCCGCCGTGGGTGCGATGATGCGTGAACAAAACGGCGACGGTTGGCCCCGCCTACTTGTAGCCTCTTTTGCAGTGTTTAGAAACCCATGGGTGACGTCACAGATACTACGTCCATATCTTTAACAGTCGATGGCTTATCCCCGAGTTTAAAGAGCCTCTATTTCGAGTTTTTAAAATGACTTTTAATGCAGCACAAAGAGAATGAAAACATCTCAGGTTTAAATCTCAAAGTGCATAAAGTGCAGTTCATTCTAGCCTTTCTATTTGTGTATAAGAATTTATATCATATGTAGTTTTATCACAGGCTAATTTATTATACAGTAAAGACTAGGGTCAATTTACAATTATTTTCTCAAGTTATTTGATTTTAAATGTGTTTGCGCTGTAAAGTTAATTTAGGCAGGTCCCATATTCTGAACAATAATCGTTACTATAAAGTAGTATTGTCCTGACGAAATGCTTGAAGATTAACAACATCACTGTTGTTCAGCCTGATTATTGAAGAGTGATGAATAAACACAAACCTATTAGTTCTTCAGTCTCTTCCTGTTTAATTCTGCAGGGTTCTGGATCACTCATCTTTTCACTGTCCTTCAATAAACTCTTTGTCTTTCACTGATGGAGCTTCAGAAGAATAAACAAAGATTAATTTACACTGATTTATGAAGTAAATCACATTATGAGGTTATAACTTGTATATGATACAATGTATTGTATGCATTTGTATAATATAGTACTTGTATAATTGTTTATTATGTTTTTTTTCTTAAAATCAGCAGATAAATATAAAAATAATTTAATTTGGTAATCCGAAAAAAAAAAAACTATATGAGCAATTCCAGCGTTATGGATGCGACATTTGCAGTAAAAACTCAAAACATAAATTCGCATAGAAAGCATATGGTAACATTATATTGAAACTTTTGTTTATATTTTCCAAAATAACTAACCGCAGAGTTCTGGGAGCAGAAAAATATCAATCCGTAAACATGTTTTATATTTTAAATGAGAAAAATAAACATGCCTTATGGATGTGACAAAAAAGTCTCCAAGATTACAGTATACAGAATACTTTGTAGAATTTCGGTGAATTAAACTGCACAACCCAAAAGAAACAATGCTAATCAAAAGGACAAGAGTTGTCTCTCTATAGAACAAAAAATATTGGTTTTATTTTATTGAATATTTTCACATTTATGAGGAAAAAGTGCCGTTATGGATGTGACACTTTTAGGTTATGAATGTGACAGCTGTAAAATTGCCACTTGTGTTATTTTGGCAAATTAAAAAGAATAGTTTGAAACACTGACAGAAACAGTTATGAGTATTTTTAAAGGGCCATGAAACCTCCTCGTTTCAGCAGGGTGTTTTCACACCTCTACTTTGGAAAAAGTCAGAAAAGTGGGCGTGTCCAGCTCTGTTTAGGGGGGAGTGTCAGAGGAAGAAAAGTGGGAGGGTGTGGGAGTGTCTATTTGGGCACGCGCGAGTTTCAGAGTCAAAATACACACACACAGTAGAAAGTGATGGTGTTTAACCTACATGGACATCTGTAGTCGAATTATTTGCCAAATTATTAAATGGTGGACTTTAACTGCAGTTTGGCTCTTTCATTCAGGGAATTCATTCATGTCCCTCGCGACAAACGAGATATTTGATTCGAGGAGCTGCTCTAAGCGTGTATTTTTCATGCAATGTTTAATACCGCACGGCGAATCAGAGAAAAAAAACCTCCGCTTTTCCTGGAAACTTAGATGCACACGACAGGTAGTGTCAGAAAGCCGCGTGTGTTATTCCGGTCACTAAATGCGGTGAAAATCCTACACGAGGTTAAAGTTTGGTTGTGGTGCTAACATGTTTACACTCGGTGCAATAGTTAACTTAGTTCAATACGAACAAACTGAATAAACAAAGAGCACTGGTCGCTCACTTACCAAATCTGTAGAGACAGGACAATCACCAGCAACTAGAGCCGCGTCTTTATTAA